ATTTTGAATTAAAATGGTCCGACCAGTCAAAATGACTGGTCTGATATATCTAGTGTTAAATAAATTGTTCCGTTTTATTCTTATTGTCCTTCTACTTCGAACAAATGTGTTTATTTATTTCTATTATAATTTTGTAACACCGTTTACACGTTATTTCTGTCATCAAAATTATTTGTTTTTACTCCCACTATTTTTATTGTTTAAGTAAATTGTTCTATTTTATTCTACTTTTAATGCTTCTTCTACTATTCATTGAACATATGTTGTTTCCTTATTTCTATTTTAATTTTTTAACACCGTTTATTCGTTAATTCTGTCATCTATACAATATTTGTTCATTTCTATTTATTTTTATTGAAAAAAAAAAGAAAAAAAAAACATTTAAATCACTTAACTCTTCTCATTTAACAAATTTGTGTTTGTATTTGACATTTTAATTGATTTTAAAGATTTTTACTAATATTACTTTAACGATAATAATTTGTTTATTTTTTTTTTTTGTATCGAGATTAATTTTTATAATTAATTCATTATAATTTATTTTATTAATTTATTATATAAAAATATAATTTGATATTTCGATTAAAAAACGTTTTTTTTTTTTTTTTAAATTTTTATTATAAATTTTCCACTTATATACACGTACACACACACATCAACACATACACGAGTTGTACTATTTGTATATTTTATAATTGAATTATATTTGTCTAAATAATCCTTGAAATTTATAATAATATAATATTCTAGCAACACGATTGTGTCTATTAAGATTATAAACAATCAATAATTAATAACATAAAATTTAAAAAAACTATTCAAACAATCCTTCGCATAGTTAAATATGGGACAATCTAAACTTCAAAAAAAAAAAAAAGGAAGAAAAAAAAAACACTATGGGAAGACAAAAAAAATTATTTATGCAAATTTAAAACGTTTCTTTCATTTTTCTCTATAGGTCAAGAGATAAAAAAAAAAAAAAAAAAAAAAAAAAAACTATCTCAAAAAAAAAAAAAAAAAAATAAAGAGAAGATTTCTCAAAGTACTCAAGTTCGCGACACACAAATACGCATTTATATATATTTAAACAGTAATCGTTGTAAAGATCATTAACTTCTATTATTAGAAATAAATCAAAAATAAATTATTAAAAAAAAAAAAAAAAAATGAAAAAAATGAAAAAAAGCAAAACAACCTCGCACGAAGAAAAAAAAAATCTGCACAGTGAACTGATCAACCTTGGCCAAAAGTCATGTAATTTTAATATATGTCAGCTTTTTTTTTCTTCGTACACACACACACACACACACACACATACACACATATATATATAGTCTCGTTAGAAGGAATATATAAACAAAAAAATTGATTAAAAGAAAAAAAAAAAAAAAACCTAAGCAATTTTCGTATGAAGAAACATTGTCAATGATTGACAACGGGTAAATTTTAATTAACAAACTTATAATTTTAATAGAAAAAAAAAAAAAAATTTGAAATAAAAAAATAAATTTCTATTAAAAGATATTATTATAATAATAATTAACAAAGTGTAATATTTTTAATAAAAAGCAAAAAAAAAAAAAACAAGTTAAAACGATCGTCTCACAAAAAAAAAAAAACCTTGTCAACGACTGACTGCAATTTTAAACACGTTGCACTATTTCAATCAAAATTACACTTTTTTTCTTTCCCCTTGTAAACAAAATCCTTTCCAACAAAATAAAATAAATATTTTACTTATAAAAAACAAAAATTAAATAAATAAATTAATTAAATGAAAAACAATGAAGGAAGAAAAATTGGTGCAATCCTCGCACGAAGCAGCTTTGTCACTTACTGACCGTAGATACAAAAAATTCTCCCGTAAGGTTAACATACACACACACACACACATACAAAACTGTGTTCTCTTTCTCTCTTCTTTTGAAGAAATTATATATATATATATACACACACACTTTTCCCCTTCTTCAATCTCTTCTTCTTTTTCCTCGGCTTATTTTTCCACCACTATTACCACCACCGGCACGTTTGTGTTCAGTGTGGGACGTGTTGGTCCCGTTAAACTAATATAATCGGTGATATTGGGGGTGGAGGTGGAGTGGGGGAAGGGCCCAGCTTAACGAGCAACAAGAGAGCTACTTCGATACTAAACTAACGACCAACGATCAATGCACTGTTATAGTTTCAGAAATAAAACAAGAAGAACAAGAAGAAGAACAAGAAGAAGAAGAAAATGAAGAAGAAGGGGTAAAACAAAATGTTTTATTTAAGGGGAGTGAATTAATTTAACGACCAATAACAACTTTAGTTGTACATTTCCAACCATTTTATCTATCATTTACGATCTGTATTTTTTTTTTTTTTAAATCTTTTTCTACCTTTCTTCCTACTTGTAGGGCATCTTCAGATGGGTCCGTTATTCCGTTGACCGATTTTTCTTTTTTCAGAGTCACCTTATACTTTGGGCCCCACTTCCCACCCTTTTTCTCTTTCTCTCCGACTTTTGTTTTATTTCTTTTTTTTTTTTTTATTACTACACACACTTCAGTGGACTTCTTCTCTTTTTTCTTTTTTTCTTTTTCCAATCTTTTTCTTTTTTCTTTTCTTTTTCGTCTTACCTTCGAATGTAGGTAAATGGGACAAAAATTTAACCCAAAATCTTTCAATTTTATTTTCAAACGTAAGACCCAACCC